ACACGGCTGATTCTTGGTTTTGCTTGTTCTCTGCAGAGCCAGCTACTATCGGAAGGGTGGGTGCGCAATGCTGCCCGTCAAGTGGATGCCTCCCGAGGCTTTCATGGAGGGGATATTTACATCAAAAACAGACACATGGTGTGCTTTGCTTCTCTCTCTACCGCTCCTTCCCTCTCTCTCTCTATTTTAACCTGTTTTTTAAAGTGAATATTTTGAAATATAGCATGTTTGTGTTCATTTTCCTCTTACTGAAAAGAGAAGCAAGGGCTTTCAGAGCAGGTAATCTTGGAGGTAATATTAGGCGTAGGCCAAAGCAGGTGTTATTGGGAAGAGAACAGACAGGGAAAGGAGAGTGAAGCAGATTAGGTGCCGCCTTTTTAACTCTTGGGAGGAAGGTGCCAGTCCCATGCTTGTGAGARCAGCATGGCTTTACATAACAGGAGACTGCAGACAAGATCCTTCCATGCCAGCACTGTGGGAAAGGGTTAAGCTCTCCGATACGACAGAGCTGCTGTTGATCTGTCAGCAGCCAAAGGACAAGTAGCCCGATGCTGCTTATAGTTCTGCTGCAGTTTTAAGCAACAGGGTGGTAACTTCCAATCATCCAGCCAAACCAATGCTTGGGAAAGGCCCTGTCTCAGCCACTATCCCAGGGCTCTGCCTTCCACGCTGCACGGCCTAGGACTGCAATGTAAGCTAGGGATTGATCTTATTGTACTGTCTGAGATTTATGGAGGAGGCTCAAAAGTCAGCAGTCAGGATTCATCTCCAGCAGAGCTGCTTATTCAAGAGGAAGAGTTTGTCAGGGGTGTTCAGGCCTGCTCCCCTCGTTCCAGCCTCCAGCAGTGGCTGATGCCTCAGAGCAGTCTGCTTCACATTTGTATCTGGTTGAACAGGGCTGCATTCAAGGGCAGAACAACCAGGTTTACCTACCTGAGTCATAGACCTAACTCATTTAACATTCCGTTGTGGACATTGATGAAGTGATTCATAGTCCACTGTTAAAATCATACAGTTTGTTCACATCTCAGTCCCACAACAGTGAATTCCACAAGATGGGTGAGTACAGACTGCAGAGAGCAATAGTGATAACACTGCATCCAAGGGCATATCCCCTAAATCATGATGATTTATTGTGATCGTGATTATTTCTGTGTTCTAAATTTTATTTCCCTTCTCTTCTGCATTCAGGTCCTTTGGTGTATTGCTGTGGGAGATATTCTCTTTGGGATATATGCCCTACCCTAGCAAGAGTAACCAGGAGGTTTTGGAGTTTGTAACCAATGGAGGAAGAATGGATCCACCTAAAAACTGCCCTGGCCCTGTGTATGAAATTGTAATTTTGATGTATTAATGCAAATAAGTGTTTTGAATTCTCTTGTCTAGTCAGAAGTTAGTGATTTTTGAGATTGATTTTATCTTTGCTAATTTCCCTTTCTGAATGTCTTTATTGGCAGTTACACCTGCTTTAGTGGACCAGTATGGAAAGTGTTGACCATTGCTTGTTTAGTTAAAGACGGTGCAATATCACTGTCTCAGGTTAAACATGGAACTGCAGCCCACCTCTGTTCAGTTCTCAAAGGTTCCCCAGCAGGTTCARCGCTGTAGATTTCACTCCACTAGTAGTCATGTTTTAAGGGTTACCTATACAAAAGTTGTCYGACTCGGACATGCTCTTAAACCCTTTTTGTTAGGTGCTGGAGGGTAACGTGTACTCACAGTTTCCAGGCTGCGATGATGAGCTATTAYGGACCAACAGGATCTGGTATTTATGAGTTTCTCTCATTTTGCTCTTTCAGTTACCGCATTATGACCCAGTGTTGGCAGCACCAGCCCGAAGACAGGCCAAACTTTGCCATAATCCTGGAGAGGATTGAGTACTGCACTCAGGTATCAGTCTTCATTCATCTACTGTGAGAGGCGGGGAGAGGAGCAGCATAGCTAGCCAGGATGTACAATGAGAAGGCAGCGCTGCGCTACTGCAGTGGCACTGGGACAGGCTGATGGTACATTTACCACATCAGGTGGCAGATCCTACTGTCTTTCACTGCCTAAAAGCAAAAGAGYACACACTCATCCAGCTGTACAGAAAATGGCAGATCTATGGCTCTGCTTCAGCTTATAAAGACACAAATTATAGCAAGATGTAAGGCAAACCAGCATGCTTATGTCCTTATGTTTCACATCAGTCCTTGTAACCTGTGGGACATGGTGAGCRCTGGGCAGAAACAGTCCTGACGCCAAACACTTTTTCCTGGTGRTCTCTGTGGCTGTGAGGAATTTTCTGAGTCTGGCTGCTCTGGAGAAGCAAGTTCAGAGAGAAATGCCAAGGAGTGGAGGTTACAAGGCTAGACAGCATGAAGAGAATATGTCTGGCTTTCCAGGCTTAGACATGATATTTACCACCATAGCTTAGAAAGAATGGGATAATGTGAAAAATGTTCTCTTGTCTGTGTTAGCACAGGTTTCTTGTGCAGCCYCATATGGTTGTTTTCCTCCTTCAGTTTGCTTTCCCAGCTGTAAGTAATGGGACAYTACTGGTGTACTTCACTATTTGGGAGGTTTGATCTTTTTCACAGGTGTTTGGATCTTGAATAGGAGACACTTTTTTTTTGTTATCTCTGGCATCTAGCAACAGTTAAAGGTTGTCCAGATCCATTTCTCTCAGTTTAATTTTCAAAACTACTTAAATAGCTCAAAACCCCAGTCTCCACRGGTTCAAGTTGCTAGAGGTCTACTCTTGACGGTATTGCCTTGTATCTACCTTGCCATTTCTCTTTTGTTCTGGGGATGCAATACTTTTATGGCTGTAACTGCCTCAGTATGTGAGAGTGTTATAAAGTTCAAGGTGATAACAATTCCAAAACAACATTCCCATAGGAAATTCATCTGGACATAAAAGGTTTTTATCATTATTGTTGTACTGTCYGCTGTTCTATGGTGGGTTTTATGTTTGGTCCTGGATTTATTTTTTTAAGACTTTAAGGTTGTCCCCCTTCAAYTTTAAGGGTGTCCCATTGTACCTCAACAGACTGTCTTGTCAGCATCCCTCACACATGGGATGTGGGCCCCATGATGAGAAAGACTTGCTCTGATAATGCAGTCACACCTGCCAGTTGTCTTTGATTTATAACCGAGTCTGAGCGTTTAGGGCAGTAGCAGACTGAGAAATTCTCRTTGTCATCTTCTGCAGGATCCAGATGTCATCAACACCGCTTTGCCAGTGGAATATGGCCCATCAATTGAGGAGGAAGAGAAAGTAGCAGTGCGCCCAGAAGATCCAGATGGGATTCCCCCTCTCTTGGTCGCTGCACACCAAGAGAAGAAGGATGACAAGCAAGCTCTGCCCTCTCCACCCCCACTGCCATCAGCCATCACTACTGGAAAACCTCTAGGGAAAGCGGGAGCCTTGGAACACCCAGTCCCTGGGAAGATGCAGTCAGCCTCAGCAGGGGGACATGTCAACATGGCCTACACCCAATCCAATCCCCCCTCTGAGCTGCACAGAAGCCGAGGCTCCAGAAACAAGCCCACCAACCTCTGGAATCCAACATACGGTTCCTGGTTTGCGGAGAAGCAGGCCAGCAAAAGCAATTCTCTGCTGGAGAAAGAGATGTCTGAGAGGGAGAATGTGGGACCCGAAGGAAACTCCACTGCAGGGCCCAGTATTGTAACTGGCAGGCTACCAGGCTCCTCCCTGCTACTAGAGCCATCTTCCCTAACAGCAAGTGTTAAAGAAGTGCCTCTCTTCAGGCTTCGCCATTTCCCTTGTGGGAATGTTAACTATGGATACCAACAGCAGGGCCTACCCTTGGAAGCCTCCACGCCACCCTGCGCTAGCAGTTACGAGGATCCCATACTCAGAAACAAGACCCACGTAACCCACCAGGGGCCTTGAGCGCCCTCTACCCTCCTGACTTTTACCTGTGTGGCCCCTGAGCCTTGAAGAGATGTCCTGTTACCAATACACCATGAACAAGAGATCTCACAGTGTTACCTTCTAGTATGTGCCAACTTGCTCCAAAGTGCCACCCTTGAAGCTGTAATTTCAAATAACCCAAGAGGCTTCAAATCACCAGAGCCCCAAAACAAAAAGAAAGAAAAATAATAATAAAAAAAAAAGAAAAAAAAAGAAACATGGGGGAGGGAGGATAAAGGAAACACATTAACTGCAAGGCCCAGCTTCCTGTTGCATCAACTCATGTGCATGGTTGTTGTCATGCCCTTCCTGTGAGCTTTTCTCAATTGTGTGTTCTCTGCTTAAGTGTAAAGCCACTCACTGCTTTGAGTGTTTCATGTCTGGGGTTTTCCATGCCAAACCTGTCGTTGCTGTGGAACACTTGGAATTCTCCTGCAAGTGGCAGAGCTTTGTAGTGGGTTTAGGGAAAGCATCATTCATCCAAAACAAAAAAAACGATTCCGCTTTGAATGGAAACAYGGTAGCACGTTCCCAGCTTACATTCCAGCTGGTCTAGTCTGCAAAAGTCCTTGACTGTACGATGTTTTTTTTGTGGCAGGGCAGTGGAAAGGATCTGCTCATACTGCATCACTTGAAAACATAAAGGAATTGGTGTGGATGCTATGGGGCATTTAGTTTGAGTTTTTGTTTTTGGTGGGGGGGGTCTTGTCCTTTTTGTTTTTCCAGCATCCAGCTCTAAAACCACGTAGAGCCCTTTAAAATTCCTTCTGCCCTACAAAAGTAGGAACRTCTTTTGACAGGAACTTGTGATGTTAAGTGGAACCAAAGCAGAATGTTAAAGGACGGTGGTCATGAGAAGTATTTGCAGTGCTCTGGAAACGGACAGCCCGTCTGCATAGCTCAAAGGGATAAAATAGCCATTGACGTGCCCTGTACCAACAAGAAGAATATGAAGGCAGAAAAATGCCATGTGCCACAATCAGGATGCACCAGATACTGTCTATATTTGGGGCATTTATAGCCCTTGTTTCTTTAACAAAATAGGTGTATGATAGTTGTTTACAGAAAACACTACATTGACTCATTTTGTACACCTTGTGCATGAAAGAATATTCCAGTAAGTGTATTGTCAAAACATAGATGTAGGAAATAATTCCTGTGTAAAGATATGCATTAGTAACTTCAATGTAGGGTTACCAAGAGATGTTTTAGCGTTAATGCTGCCTGAAAAATAGGCTCCCATTTCCGCAGAATGGCTCTGCTAGAGCATCAGCAAAGGAATATGAAGTTCARCCCAAGACTCTTCATCGCAGTGAAGTGATTCTGAATGTGGCCCTGGATCCAGATGCTGAGGTAAGCTTGAAACCAGGCAGCTTGGTTTGGGCCACCACACACACAAAAAAAAAAGAGAAACTCTTGGGCGACTTGGGAGGAGGGGAAGAGGGGAAGGGGGCACCAACAGCTTGCAGCATGATGTGGCTGGTTAGTGGGGGGGGGCCAGTGCGTGTGTATGTGTATGTGTGTGTGTGTGAACAGGCTCGCTGAGGAGCTGCCCCGGCTTTCCTGCCATAGCAGGGCCCTGCTGCGCGGGCTCGGTGCCCGTGACAGGGTTACAGATCAGGGGCACTGCTACTGTGCACAGACTTGTTTAGCTGGAGCTAGGGGAGTGTAAGTGCACAGCGGGGATATGAGRCTTGCAGTTGTCTTCATCAAAGAGCCACTGGGGAGAGATTCTGTCCAGCTTAGGCCTGTGTTAGTGCCGCACTGGCTGCTCTTCCTAGCCCAATAAGCTCAGAGAGGTTTTCTTCTAGTGGCTCCTGAGAGATGCTTCATTTAGCAGGTGAGTACTACAGGAGCATTGCAATGTGCCACAGTACTATTTACATGTGACTGCAATTTTCATTTACRTATTTTAGCTTGTTTGCCTCAGCAACACCTCTTTGTTTTCCTTAGCACATCTTTGAGCAGGYGCCTGCCTTATGGCTTCTCCTGCCCTGCCTCTGAAGTGCTTCCTGAGGTCAGAATCGGATCCAGACAAGTGTTCTTAAAGAGGAGCCAAGAACAAAAGCCTGCACTATTAATGAACGTTGTATAGTTGACATTATTAATGAGGTCTGGGGCAGCAGCTCTGATGCTGCACAAATACAGCTAATTTGCCCAGTTAGGATACTAGGAGTGCCATTGCTAAAGAGACCCATAGGAGCACAAGCACCAGGAGTTGGTGCTTGTGGGGGATGAAGGAAGGAAGGCGGCCGCCTTCCTCCTGCCACAGGGATAGCTGTTGGTGCTTTGCAGCTAGTTAATCATAGTCAAATGAAATATGTTWTTCTCATAAACTGTGAGCAGTAAATAATGGAGGAGTTAAACACATTACTGCATCTTACATATAAATAAAGATGATGCTTCAGTCAGGGGATGTGATAAATTAGTGCTSATGCTCTCCAGTTTGTGCTGGTTACAGTACATAGGGTGATTACTGTAGTTCCTGCAATAGTGGCTGGTTTTATGGAAGCTTTCCTCTAGTGGCTACAATGTAAAAATGCTTTTATTACAATGCCKGTTCTTAGCATGTGGAAGTCAAAGGAATTCAGAAAGCTCATTTGGCTTACAATCAAAAAAAACAAACCCCTAGTTTCTGTAAGGTCTTCTGCAACAAGCATTTAGGTCAGTAACGTGTGGGTTGGCCAAGGCTAGCTCCCCAGTTTGAAAAGCTTTTGGTAAATACCAATGGTGATCAGAGCTTACTGTTCAGCARTCCAGTTTGGGGCATGTGAATATCCTGGGGCTTTTAGAACAGGCCCAGTACCATCAATGACAAACGATTGCCATGTGTGGCTGGGATCAAAYGGTGCTCTGCTCTGTCTGTGCAGGCTTCCTCTGTGGAAGCATCATGGTCCTTCTGCACGGGCTTGCAGATGAATGTCTGCCTTTGTGACAGGTGTCTCCAAACTTTCAGTGCCAATACAGCGCCTGGTTTTTTRATTTCCACAGTGTTGTCAGTACACATCACTGGGGCAGCTTTCCCTAAGGGTACCTGCCTCCTCAGCCACAAAAACAGCACGTCCCTGCCCAGCACTACGCTACTATCCCCCATCAAGCACCCTGGTGCTGGCAGGAGGGCTCCTGCAGTTACTGCGGCTCCGGGCTGCAGCGGGATGAGCAGGACACTGTTCAGAGGTAGGGAAGAGCCCAGGAAAGTCTTTCCTGAGAGCAGGCCAAGGTGCTGTGCAAAGGGATCCAAAAGAGCCTTGCATTGCAGAAGGGCCTTATCAAAAATAATTGGTGAGTTGGGGTAAAGGTAACAGGTTGTATTTTTGGGGTGATGGACTTTGTGTGTATGTAGAGAGCTAAGTAACATGTGCTCCTAGTTGTTAGCAATGAGGCTGTATTTCTGACATGGAGTGGAGCTTAAATGCTCTACAACAAAGAATGTACTTAGAGAATTTGTGTTAGGAATTTCTGTGGCAATGCCTGAATGTGTTAAATGTTCATGTGCCTAACTGTGCTCCCACCTATGCTGGATTCAGTCTATCCCATCTCCTTTAGCTACCAATAGCAAGCACATTTTTGTSTCATTATGAACCAGTTTAATTTTGGTGCCTGGAAAGCAGCACCTGCTACATTTCAATGTCCCGGTGTGCGGAAGGTGCTCAAGTCACCGCGACCTCAGCAGCCAAAGCTCCTGCTGTGTGTAAAGCCCGACTCCCTTTGTTAAGCCCCTCTGCACTGGGCTTCCAGTGGTAGCTCCTGAAAGGGTCTAAGAATTGAAACTGAAGGTACTGTAGTTCCCTCACCTTTTGTCTAGGGTTGTTTTTAAACTTAGTATAATTTTGAATGCAAATGTCTTAAGTAGAGAGTGTGTTTAAAGACTGTTATTCTATTTCCCTGGCACTGTTTACACTATGTTCTTATATATATATCTTTTTTTTTTTTTTTTTTTTCATTCTAGAGTTGTAAAGCAGGAAGCAGCATGAGCCACAGTATGACAAGCACAAATGGGAAGATGTGCAGCCACTCTCAGACTCTGAAAATGGCTTATTTCCACATGGATTTTACCCATTTCTTATAGAGGTTAGGTAGGTTTTCTGATTCTGTGCTGATCTGCAAGCTGGTGAGGATAAAATAGACTGGGATGCCTGTTTATCTACTTTCCAGCTGTCCACTCATCATCTTCCTTTTTTGCTGCTCAACCTTGTTTCTCCATGCTGTGCCCTGGAGGGATGAAGCGAGGCAAGGCGTTTGGTTATTCTGCTTCCTCGTGGAGTGCTGGTAGGCACGGGACAGGAGGCGGCTCTGCTGCAGGGGGCTGGAGGGAGAGGTTAGAGGGGCGAGGGCAGCAGGCCTGGGGCCACGTGTCTCCCTGGGGCTGGTATCCCTGGTCCCTCTCGGTGGGAGCAGGCTGGCTCGGGGAAGCAGCTGCAGCAGCGCACGTGGTCATTGAAAAGAGCGTGGGATCCGGGAGCTCCGACACAGGCTGGGAAAGACATCTTAACATTGCACATCTGCTCCCGTCACCGAGCCTGGCAGCAGGACCCGGGCCATGGGAATGGCCTAAAATAGAGCCTTTTGCAGCTGCAAAGACATCACAAACTGCCCCAACCCTAAGCCCATCACAGGGAAACATTTGAATTGTCTCTTCCGGCTTTTTTCAGTACCAGTGCGTCGTTAGGAATGTGTGTCTCATGTACAGCAGCTTATGCAACATTGTCCATAAAGGAAGGGCCTGTGCATTTCAGGGATACTATGAAGAAAAAAATATTAATATATGGTCATGAGTATTTTGTATTGAATAGTGTATTTGTATTGTAAACAAGTGTAGTGAACCAAAAGGCATGAAGTTAAATAAAATGACTGTTACTGGCTTTGCCTGTGTTGGGGTGTTCATTGAAATGTCTGCAAGAATTGCAGAAATGAGTTTTCATCTCTAGAATGCAATAGCAAAGGGCGCCCTTTTGGAGTGAATTTTTACTTGTTAAAATATAAAGGGCCAGGGTTCATGCACCTGGTTATTAAGGAGCAGGCAGGCAAAGTTGGGGACTAGCAGGAGCTACCTTAGGCCTTTGCAAGTGTAGGAGCCCGAAGTTTGTTTCTTGCAAGCAGCTGGGTGACTTTGCCACCAAGGCTGTCTTTTAGCTAAAGGAAACTGGCCCATAGACGAGGAGGGGGAAAAAACCCACATGGTTCAAGAGACTATTTAGGTGTTTTCATTCCTAAGGGTGCATATTCAAGCACAGCATTTTAATTTGTGTCTGAACATTGACTTGGAGCAGCTGTAATTATAAGATGTCTAAAAAAAAGTGGCATGCCATGATTAAGTCCTGCGCAAACATAGGAAGAAAGGTGAGTTCCTGCCTGGAGATGTTCCCATCCTCCCTACCTTGCATCAATCTTATGCTGCTGCTTTCTCAAGAAATGGTACTYCAGGGTTTTTTTTTGTTGTTGTTGTTTAACAGCCTTTTTCTGCTTTACTTGCTTGTCCACATGCTAGTCCCACTGTGGGCTTATTAACATCCCTGTGTCCTCCCACGCTGCAGTTCTTCCCTCTCATCTTAATGGAAACAGGAGCTGCTCCCATTGCAGCTGGGGCCCTGCTGGCTGCCATTTTTCTGCTTGTTCCCTGATTTGTCTGCCTGCAGCAAGGCAGGAAAGTAGGTGCAAGTTGGAACTTCATTATGTGGCTTCCATGAGCATTGGCTTTAGTTTCCACCTCGTGTTTGACATAGGTTTTTCAAAATCTGAATTTTTGCTCTATAAACCACGCCATAAATGCTGGCCTTGCCACCTATGCACCCTCAGGTAGCAGAGCTACCTTGTCAGATACTATGCTCTGTTTCGCCCATCTGTAGTGCCAGTCTTGGCTCCTTCAGCCTCAGCTCCTGCTGCACATCAGCATTTAAAAGTCTAGGCATCCTGCCCTGGAAATATAACTCAGCACTGCAGAACAATCACTGAATCCAACCACCAAAACTCACTAGGAATAAMTTCCCCATTCTGGGACTCTTCAAGGAAGTGTCCTTCTTCCTGCCACACCTGTTTCCAGCCAGTTTATAACAAAACTTGAAATGCTTCTGTGCCCACAGCACAGAGGCCCTACCTCTTCTCCACAGCACAGCTTTGGGCCTGGTGGCAGGAAAGTAGAACATTTGAGTCCACACAGGCAGCACAGAACTGCTGGGGACCRTTTGTTTATTCATTAAATATTTTACTTACGTATTTCATAGGGACTTCGGAGGCCATCTGCCTCAGCTGTAACAGTTTGAGGGCTTAAGTCCCGTAGACCTCAGCACAGCTTCTTTTGCTTCCCTGGTTCTGTGCCTGGTTCTGTGCCGCACCTACTTCTGAACTTGTGCCACATGCTCCAGGTGGCCTTGCTGGAGCAGGGGGTTGGACTAGATGATCTCTAGAGGTCCCTTCCAACCTCAGCCATTCTGTGATTCCGTGAACTTCAGTGCTAGTTGTTTTCAGAATTTTATGACACAAAGTTGTCTATGGCAAGAGTGAGGGAAAAGGATTATGGCACCTTACCTTGGATTTAAGGAAACACACRTCCTCTCACATCACCAGCTTGGAGACAGCCATAGGTAATCCTCCTTGCAAGCGGGAAACGGGATTTATTTGTTTCAGGCTGTACAGAGTCACAGGGTTTCCTGTCCCCGCTGAGGGGGCTCTGCAGTGACACAGTCCCGACCCGCACTGAGCTCGCCGCCCTGCCCCGAGCACAGCCGAGTGCTGGTGCTGGGCCCGCTACGCCCCAGTCCAGCTCAGCGCCGTGCTCCTCCAGCACAGCCTGAGGCAGGCGTGGGAAGCGAAGAGTTCCAGTGCACTGGAACAACTCTCAGGAAGTGCTGGTCCCCCACCTGCCTGTGCAAGATGTGCCACGCACGAGGGGTGYGGTGAACAACGCAGCTCACCTTCGGCCCTGCTCTCACTCACCTCCCTGAGCACTGCCTGGAAAAGCAGTTACATTCATTCCATCTCAGGAAACAGAAAAACGAGTGTTTCTAATAATTCTGGTTGAGTTTAATAGCCAGATAGGAGGAGAGTGAGGAGATAAACTCCATAATGACTTGACATAAATTCTCTTTGACATATGTTCAGCAGGGTTTAATTTTACTAACAACAGCAAGAAACAGATGTGGACAAAGTAAAGCTCAGTACACCACTAATATCTGCATCTTCAAATATAAAGCATTATTTTCTTTACATTCAAAATTTACAGCTTTTATATTCAATTAAAAACTCCCATAAATTAGAATACAGTCCATCCTTTAAATACAGTGTAGGAAAAATAGCTACAGTAGTATTTAATGTAACAGCAGAAATCTGTCTAAAAATAGGCTATTACAATGTCATTTAAAGTGTCACTTCTTTCAAGTAGATAAAAGCAAGCAGATCATTCAAGAATAAAAYGACTGTTTTGGAACATAAAAACACCCTGATAACCTTCAGTAAGATATTGTTTACATATGCTGAGCAATTAAAATACATATGTGCTTAAAATATGGGGAAAGCACTAGTTGTGTTAAAAGGCTGAGCTGCAAATAATGTCACATCACCATGCATTATAAGGCTATACCTAAAACTATCCTGAATGAGACTCTTACTGAAAATTTACACTGGAAACAGTGCCGAAGGAAACAAAAAGAAACATGTATCACAAACAGATCAAATGTTAATGGCTTGCTTGAAAAACCTACATATAATCCATACCACTGGCAGGAAGAACCATGCTGTATTTATACAGACTTAATATTTCTGAGGCAGCTCTCATGTTTAGCTCCACTCTAGGTTTATTTGCATTAAAAACTGGGATATTCATATCCTGCAGCACACCAAACAAGCATAGCTCTTAAAGTGAGGGAAAACTCTCCAGGAGAGTGCAAAGTGCATTATTTTGAAGAATGCTTCTCGTACTTAGCTTTCTACAAATGTCTACGACAAAAAAGTGCTTTTTTTTACTATACAGACTGACATGAAGTATATTTGTGCTTTTTAAAGGCTTTTTATTTAATTGCTGCTGTTCACTAGGATAGCTGCAAATACTTCTACTTATCAGCCCTTTTGTTTTCTAGAGGGGAGAATGGGAGGGGAAAAGAGGAGGGATATGAATGATAAAATGTGGAAGTACTTCACAACTGCTCAAAAAAAAAAGAATATTTTTTGCTTGCTTATTGCTAGCAGCTGGTATCAAAATTGACAAAGTGTCTAGGAAACAGATGAATGTCACTTATTAGCCACCTCCTCTGTCAAAAGCAGGCAATGCACCAAGCAGTTCATTACCACAGTGAAGAAAATCATTTAAATACTGCATGAATCACAAATAACTTTAGAGGGCATTACATTTACTTGCATTCTCTTACTGGAACACTATTCAAATAATCCAGCATCTCAAATCCAAGATACTTCTGCAGTAACCCTCCCAGTCTCAGTAGGAGCAATGGAATCGGGGTTTCACTGCTTAAAGCAACTGAACTTTGTTTTTAACGTATGCATTTTTGTGTGTGTGTGTGTRTGTTTATGTGTGTATGTGCCAATGGTACACGTGCATACACACACATAAAATGCAAATGTTGGTTCGATAATTTAAAAATAAACTGGCACTCTAAGATAGGGTTCCTGTGTSCTTTTAAAACTTATTTCCCATTGCATTCACACATTTTGGCTCAGCAAATGTCATCCACAAGTTTTGCCCCATTAATCCCACGATAGGTTACTCTACTAGGTCGAACCAAGASCCCATGGTTCAGCTTGCAGGTGAAATAGCGCTTCTCCCCCACAGACCCATCATTCTTTCCCTTGGCACTTCTGAGCTCAAGTCCAAGCCATATCCCTGGTGCAAATTCGGTAGGACCAATGTACCTGATTGTCCCCATTTCATTGGAGCTGGTCAGAAGCACCTGAGAGCCTTCGTGCAGCTTCACGGGTCCCTCGGAGTTAGCTGGGGCAGCATTACTCCAGCTGCGCCTTAACACAGAGCTCTTGGATCTAGTTTAAAGAAAGAGGGGGAAAAAAAATCCAAGGCAATGTAAATATATAATTCAATGTGCGTAAAAAAAAAAAATCCCCATATCCCTCAACTCCTAAAAAAAGGATCTCATCTCCTGTCACTGACAAAACATGCAACAACATTTCTATGCTAGTAAACACAGTACTGTCAGACTTGAAAAAAATCCATTTTCTTTTGCTTGATGCTAGGATCCACAATATTTAGAATAATTGACAGTATTGGTCAATTAAGTGGTACAAAACGTTTTATAGGCTGCTTGAAAAGCTTTGCCAGACCAGCTTGTAACATGT